GTTACGTTACGTTACGTTACGTTACGTTACGTTACGTTACGTTACGTTACGTTACGTTACGTTACGTTACGTTACGTTACGTTACGTTACGTTACGTTACGTTACGTTACGTTACGTTACGTTACGTTACGTTACGTTACGTTACGTTACGTTACGTTACGTTACGTTACGTTACGTTACGTTACGTTACGTTACGTTACGTTACGTTACGTTACGTTACGTTACGTTACGTTACGTTACGTTACGTTACGTTACGTTACGTTACGTTACGTTACGTTACGTTACGTTACGTTACGTTACGTTACGTTACGTTACGTTACGTTACGTTACGTTACGTTACGTTACGTTACGTTACGTTACGTTACGTTACGTTACGTTACGTTACGTTACGTTACGTTACGTTACGTTACGTTACGTTACGTTACGTTACGTTACGTTACGTTACGTTACGTTACGTTACGTTACGTTACGTTACGTTACGTTACGTTACGTTACGTTACGTTACGTTACGTTACGTTACGTTACGTTACGTTACGTTACGTTACGTTACGTTACGTTACGTTACGTTACGTTACGTTACGTTACGTTACGTTACGTTACGTTACGTTACGTTACGTTACGTTACGTTACGTTACGTTACGTTACGTTACGTTACGTTACGTTACGTTACGTTACGTTACGTTACGTTACGTTACGTTACGTTACGTTACGTTACGTTACGTTACGTTACGTTACGTTACGTTACGTTACGTTACGTTACGTTACGTTACGTTACGTTACGTTACGTTACGTTACGTTACGTTACGTTACGTTACGTTACGTTACGTTACGTTACGTTACGTTACGTTACGTTACGTTACGTTACGTTACGTTACGTTACGTTACGTTACGTTACGTTACGTTACGTTACGTTACGTTACGTTACGTTACGTTACGTTACGTTACGTTACGTTACGTTACGTTACGTTACGTTACGTTACGTTACGTTACGTTACGTTACGTTACGTTACGTTACGTTACGTTACGTTACGTTACGTTACGTTACGTTACGTTACGTTACGTTACGTTACGTTACGTTACGTTACGTTACGTTACGTTACGTTACGTTACGTTACGTTACGTTACGTTACGTTACGTTACGTTACGTTACGTTACGTTACGTTACGTTACGTTACGTTACGTTACGTTACGTTACGTTACGTTACGTTACGTTACGTTACGTTACGTTACGTTACGTTACGTTACGTTACGTTACGTTACGTTACGTTACGTTACGTTACGTTACGTTACGTTACGTTACGTTACGTTACGTTACGTTACGTTACGTTACGTTACGTTACGTTACGTTACGTTACGTTACGTTACGTTACGTTACGTTACGTTACGTTACGTTACGTTACGTTACGTTACGTTACGTTACGTTACGTTACGTTACGTTACGTTACGTTACGTTACGTTACGTTACGTTACGTTACGTTACGTTACGTTACGTTACGTTACGTTACGTTACGTTACGTTACGTTACGTTACGTTACGTTACGTTACGTTACGTTACGTTACGTTACGTTACGTTACGTTACGTTACGTTACGTTACGTTACGTTACGTTACGTTACGTTACGTTACGTTACGTTACGTTACGTTACGTTACGTTACGTTACGTTACGTTACGTTACGTTACGTTACGTTACGTTACGTTACGTTACGTTACGTTACGTTACGTTACGTTACGTTACGTTACGTTACGTTACGTTACGTTACGTTACGTTACGTTACGTTACGTTACGTTACGTTACGTTACGTTACGTTACGTTACGTTACGTTACGTTACGTTACGTTACGTTACGTTACGTTACGTTACGTTACGTTACGTTACGTTACGTTACGTTACGTTACGTTACGTTACGTTACGTTACGTTACGTTACGTTACGTTACGTTACGTTACGTTACGTTACGTTACGTTACGTTACGTTACGTTACGTTACGTTACGTTACGTTACGTTACGTTACGTTACGTTACGTTACGTTACGTTACGTTACGTTACGTTACGTTACGTTACGTTACGTTACGTTACGTTACGTTACGTTACGTTACGTTACGTTACGTTACGTTACGTTACGTTACGTTACGTTACGTTACGTTACGTTACGTTACGTTACGTTACGTTACGTTACGTTACGTTACGTTACGTTACGTTACGTTACGTTACGTTACGTTACGTTACGTTACGTTACGTTACGTTACGTTACGTTACGTTACGTTACGTTACGTTACGTTACGTTACGTTACGTTACGTTACGTTACGTTACGTTACGTTACGTTACGTTACGTTACGTTACGTTACGTTACGTTACGTTACGTTACGTTACGTTACGTTACGTTACGTTACGTTACGTTACGTTACGTTACGTTACGTTACGTTACGTTACGTTACGTTACGTTACGTTACGTTACGTTACGTTACGTTACGTTACGTTACGTTACGTTACGTTACGTTACGTTACGTTACGTTACGTTACGTTACGTTACGTTACGTTACGTTACGTTACGTTACGTTACGTTACGTTACGTTACGTTACGTTACGTTACGTTACGTTACGTTACGTTACGTTACGTTACGTTACGTTACGTTACGTTACGTTACGTTACGTTACGTTACGTTACGTTACGTTACGTTACGTTACGTTACGTTACGTTACGTTACGTTACGTTACGTTACGTTACGTTACGTTACGTTACGTTACGTTACGTTACGTTACGTTACGTTACGTTACGTTACGTTACGTTACGTTACGTTACGTTACGTTACGTTACGTTACGTTACGTTACGTTACGTTACGTTACGTTACGTTACGTTACGTTACGTTACGTTACGTTACGTTACGTTACGTTACGTTACGTTACGTTACGTTACGTTACGTTACGTTACGTTACGTTACGTTACGTTACGTTACGTTACGTTACGTTACGTTACGTTACGTTACGTTACGTTACGTTACGTTACGTTACGTTACGTTACGTTACGTTACGTTACGTTACGTTACGTTACGTTACGTTACGTTACGTTACGTTACGTTACGTTACGTTACGTTACGTTACGTTACGTTACGTTACGTTACGTTACGTTACGTTACGTTACGTTACGTTACGTTACGTTACGTTACGTTACGTTACGTTACGTTACGTTACGTTACGTTACGTTACGTTACGTTACGTTACGTTACGTTACGTTACGTTACGTTACGTTACGTTACGTTACGTTACGTTACGTTACGTTACGTTACGTTACGTTACGTTACGTTACGTTACGTTACGTTACGTTACGTTACGTTACGTTACGTTACGTTACGTTACGTTACGTTACGTTACGTTACGTTACGTTACGTTACGTTACGTTACGTTACGTTACGTTACGTTACGTTACGTTACGTTACGTTACGTTACGTTACGTTACGTTACGTTACGTTACGTTACGTTACGTTACGTTACGTTACGTTACGTTACGTTACGTTACGTTACGTTACGTTACGTTACGTTACGTTACGTTACGTTACGTTACGTTACGTTACGTTACGTTACGTTACGTTACGTTACGTTACGTTACGTTACGTTACGTTACGTTACGTTACGTTACGTTACGTTACGTTACGTTACGTTACGTTACGTTACGTTACGTTACGTTACGTTACGTTACGTTACGTTACGTTACGTTACGTTACGTTACGTTACGTTACGTTACGTTACGTTACGTTACGTTACGTTACGTTACGTTACGTTACGTTACGTTACGTTACGTTACGTTACGTTACGTTACGTTACGTTACGTTACGTTACGTTACGTTACGTTACGTTACGTTACGTTACGTTACGTTACGTTACGTTACGTTACGTTACGTTACGTTACGTTACGTTACGTTACGTTACGTTACGTTACGTTACGTTACGTTACGTTACGTTACGTTACGTTACGTTACGTTACGTTACGTTACGTTACGTTACGTTACGTTACGTTACGTTACGTTACGTTACGTTACGTTACGCTTACGCTTACGTTACGTTACGTTACGTTACGTTACGTTACGCTACGTTACGTTACGTTACGCTACGCTACGTTACGTTACGCTACGCTACGCTTACGCTACGCTTACGCTTACGCTTACGCTACGCTACGCTACGCTACGCTACGCTACGCTACGCTACGCTACGCTACGCTACGCTACGTTACGTTACGTTACGTTACGTTACGTTACGTTTTACTTACCAGTTGGGAACTTACCTTTTTCCTTTACTTACCTGGTTGTTATTTCCTGATAGGCCTTTTTTGTTTTCTGTTTGATAATTAACAAGAAACCAGACACATTGTTGCATCTTTATTATTTATTTTCATAATCTTGACGTGATGTGTTGAGTGTTTGTGTGTATTCATAATTTTTATTTTTCATTGTGTGAAATTGGAAGACACTGGTGTGAACTTTATTGTTGCTTTATTAAATCGCATTTTTTTAATTGTACATTGGATCTTAAGTGAGGGTGTAAATAATTCTTTTCTTAACTGGAGACAACCAAGCACAGCAGCAAATATATTCAAGAACACATTCAGTTTCAGCTATTACACTTAGGCTCTACACAAAAACACATTCCCTCTACCACCCCTCACCGCAGCTTGCAACAACTCACACTGAGTTGATGTACTTGGGTTCAATCCTCCTGCTTTAACTACATTAGGTGCATTACTTCTGAATGTGGATGGGACAGGCCATAGGGAAATGAGAATAGCCATCATGTGCACAAATCTCGAGCAATCCAAATCTCAACTTGTCTTTCTAAGTCTTGTTTTGATATTTGTTAATTAACCATTCCAACTGTCAAATTTCTCTTCTTTCATGTACTCCGCATGCATAAGCCCTCATACATACAAACTCCAACATTTCTGTTCCAGTTTTGCTTCAGTCTCTTAGTTTTGCTGGCTTTTTTGCATTTCTGACTACTTACTCTTAAGCTTTGTAAGAGCACAATTCATTTTTCTCAACTTAACTTAGTGCTTGAGCAACTGTTTTCTGTAGAGATCATTTTTCCTGTTTATTGTATAACAGCAACAACAAAATCACCCCACAACATTTGCATTGTACCGGAGTATTTTGAGCTAAATCAGGATAAGACTCTGTAGATGAAAGCATGTACAAAATTGTTTCTCTATTGTTTTCAATAGTCTTGAGGAAATAATTCTCCTTTCCTTTTTCTGCTACAGTAGCATACAATGAAGAATATTACGTTTAACCCTGCACAACTTCGAGACAACTGATATTTCAAAGCATCAATTCCAGCCATTCTTGGACAAGGCATTTTTCTCAAGCGTATCTTAGAAAGTAATTTGAACCAAGCCATGTTTAAATAAGATTAAGAATACCATATATTCGTTTGTCTTGACATTTCTCATTTTTTTGTTTGTAATCACACAATATTTCTACAGACTATCATATGTAGGCAATGTAACCTAGACACATAATACAATAGATTTATAATACAATAGCTTTGCTATTACTAAATGTAATAATTCACCCTGCGTATGTAACAAATTCTTTCCATCATATTTGATCCAAGCAGCGAGTTGACCTACTGTTTTTATTAATGCTTGAAAATTATATCCCTCTGTCCCATGTACTCTTCAGAGGAGCTTCGGTCAAAAAATAAATCAAGAATAATAAATGACGTGAGCAGGGATCTGCTAAGTAAGTAAGGTAGGCTGCAGTGGAACGAAGCTGATACTCAGAGAAATGAACAAGACAATGGCAAAGCCAGTACACGGTACCTTTAACCTTCCGATAATCTCTCCAGATCCTCCAGTGAGACTTCTATGTCCTCCATAGGCAGCATATGGCAGCAAAGATGGGCATATCCTTCCAACAACACACATAATTCACAGCTGCCTTAGAATCTATGTATCTGGAGGATGAAACCGCTGGTACTGCATTCCCACTTTGATAGCTCAAAGGCCTGAAGGCTGTGCTGGCAAGCAAATGACTCCAGTACCTTTGGTGAAATGAGTAGTGACTATGAGAAACAGTAGGATGGATTTCTGTTCTTGTTTGAAAACATGCCAAAAACGCTTAAATATACAGTCATTTAATATTAGTGCAATCAATAAATATAAATAAAAGAAGCCCTTCTATTCCAACCGTAATTACAAGCATATTCCCATCTTGACAGAAAATCAAAGTTTCAAAATTAAACGAACAGAAAATTTGAGATGTCTACAATTTAACTTAAATTTACTTGTTCCTAACCACTATTGAAGTGTTTACTGTGTTTAATGGTACTGTCATTATTTAATGTTGTTTTCTTCATTTGGGTAAATTGTTAATACATCCTCTTTGTCTGTACTTCAAATCTGCAGTAGATGGTAACTTTTTCCTTAAATGTCCTGTGGAAATGTTTTATTTCTTTCTTTTTGACAACTTTTTAAAGGCTTTGTTTAGCTAGTTTGTAAGTCTTAGTTTTCTCATTTGAGTATTTAGAAGTAACAGAGCATTTAGTAGAGCTCATTGCCTGAACACGTATAGATTTAAACACACTGAAGAAACAAGAGGTTACAAACACACAACCCTGGGCACCCAAAGCTAGTGAGTACATTTAAGTCTAATTTCTCTGCGTGGTCATTATCCATCTGTAAAATTAAGATAATAAAATCCCTTAACCTATTGAGGATTCTGTGAATATAAAGTACAGCCTGACACTATGTTGGTGAGTTCCATTTAAAAAATGGCATAGAAAAACCAATAATTTCTGCTCAAATAGCGTGATCTGAACAGCTTCAAGTCAATAAGGCATGTCCGTACTCCGAACAAAGACAAGAGAACTAAAGACTGAATATTCCTAATTAAGGAAGTAGTGTCCCTGATTGAAGCAGTCAGGGATCCCATGTAAGATAATCTGTGGTGATGTAATTGAAGACCATTATCATGTGCATGCCCAAAGGAGCTAAATGGAGATTGCATGGATAACTTTAATTTTAATGTTTTTTTGAGTGCTTGACTTAGTCACCTTAGTAATTTCTTTGATATAATTTTCCGGATATAGTAATAATTGCTTTAGTGGGAAAGGAGAAATTGAAGTTAGGTTGCATTTTCTGATGTGACTGGAAAAGTAATGTACCCTAGACAACATTGACAAGAATCCTGAAGCAGGCAGACACTGAGGAGACATGGAGGAGACACAGAGGAGACAGTCCTGTTCCAGTGAGAAGATAAGCACAGAAGCAAGTGAAACGCTAAGAGCTTTTCCGTTATCTGACTTTTAAGCATTTATGACAGTGACAACTATTCAGGAATATTTATCTCACAAATACATCACATCAGACTCCCAAGGCTCCGTCAGAAAGTAGACTTGAAGTTCATTCATATCCCATTACTTTCTGTAAACAAGATATTTTTCAACAAGGCTCCTCCTGAAGACGAAACTATAAGAGTTCATCAACAGTTTTTGTTGTCTTGTCAATAACAGTATGTTGACAAAGATTTTGCAGTGCCACAGAACAATCTAACTGATGATCAGTTCTCATATTAGAGCTTCCTTAAGTTCATAAATACACAGATATTGTAGACTGTAGACTTTTATGACTCATCACTATAAGAAAATAAGGTAGAAAGCCACTACTTTCAGCGGCTGCTATTTTTCTATTAACTTAGACAAAATACCTTACTCTGAAAAGCAGCTTACCATATTTTTACGTGGTAGCAAACTACTCATTTGAAGGACAACTAAAGTAAAACAGTTACATGAGGAGAAGACTACAGTCTACTTGGAGTTCTATAGTAAATTTCTAAACCGTCTCTTTTTCCCTTTTATTTCCTTATTCCCTCATCTCGAAAAGCAACTCGGAAGAGGATCGATTCTTCCAACTGTAACATCTGTTTATTCCACCTTGGAAGAGTCACAAAATTATAATGAGAGAATTACGCTATCACTACAGTACGGTTCAAAAGCGCCATTGCATTAATTAATGTGATTCATTCTGAATTCTCTGCACTGAAGTAAACAAACGATCTTGTACTGTTAATAGTAGCCTCAGCAGGTTTACTGGAAATGTTTTATAACAAATGTGATGAACCTATTGAGCCTGGCAGAAAGAGAATCCAGGTTTGAAAAAGGGTGTCCTCAGTTGGCGGGTGCAAATCCAACATGAAAAATGATTAAAAACACAATGTTCACCCTTGAATTTTCTTTAGTTCATACTACGTCCCCTAACCAATACATACCAAATATTACATCCTGCGATAGTAGATAATTATGAGGTGGGAGGATCCCCGAAACAAACTGACAGTATCCAGCGAAGAGTATTTTACTTTAGTTATACCTTTTAGAACACTGATTATAATTCTAAGTATATTACACAAGTAATTCTTAACAGGAACAGAAACCATTCGATTATGCTTAGGGTCCAGTTTCATCGACAAGCATACTCTTAGCATAATTATAAAATTAAAACTTAATTTTGTAATTGTTAGCCAAAATTAGAACATGCAAAACATTTAAGACCGTATGAAAAGTATAATTTATCATTTTTCTCCATGAAAGAAATAAAGGCACTACTCGTCCCTTCAAAACATTGGTATTGTTCAACTCACTCATATCAAGCAAATAACTTGGACTTCTCTATTCTTTGCTAAAAGATTAAGAAAATTATACAAGGGCCATTAAGAAGTAAAAGCAACCTCTGAAAATAAAAATGTTCGAATTAGGAATGAAAATAAGCCAAATGAGTTAGATGAAGGCATGACTACATTACAAGGTCCTGTGTACATAACAAAACACAGTTATGAGATTTGGACTAAATAGCTCTAATAGAGACACTTAGGACCTACGTCTACAAGTGGCTTCTCTATCACCTGGCTGTGTATGCAGCTTAAAGAAAGGTAATATTACGGGCACAAATAGTACAGAGAAATCTTGCTAAGATAGGCCAAGCCTCTCCTTTTTAGGGTGGCTAGTAAGAACTAGACGTCTGGATTGCGCAAGAGTCTTGAGAGTGACCTCATTTTTTGTATTCCTTCTGGTCCCTACAAATACTCTATCTTACGAGCCATGCTCTCTTTTCAATTTATTTTGTGTGCTTGGACAGGAAAGAGGATACCAGCTCAACTAGCATGTAGTATTTTTCTTCATTTCTAATTTCCTGTGTTTTACATATACATTACTAATTATAACCACTTATTTTAAGACACAGACTAACAGGATCTTCATCAAAAGAGTCGAGACAACACTTAAGAAAGAGAGTACCAAACAAAAACCACAGTGAGTATGTGCACCATTTCAAGACTAGTCTAACAACCCATAGCTATGTTATAGCATGTACTTTCTAAGAAGAAAACAAACAAACAAAGAAAAAAGTCCGGTATTGTTTATTCCGAAGGCCTCCGATTGTGCACTGCATTAACAGATCCGTACTGGTCAATTATAGGATTTCTGAGATTCATTCCTCTAAAGCAAGTGCAAAAAGCACTAAAGAACATTATTCCTGGGTTCCATTTATAAAATCATTCATTTTAATAATTGATAACAGTACGTGCTATTTTACCTCTCGTGTTTTAAATCCAACTCTAGATCCTTAAGAAACTGTTACAGAACAGGAAAAAATATATATACATTTCACTTCAGACAATTTCTAAGTAACCAGAAATTAGAGTGTTGTAGCAACATTCATATTTGCTTAACTAAAGGAAATGCATTAAAAGTGAGTTTTTACATCAACGACGTAGTAACCTCATAACCATCATGAGATTTCTGCCAGAAATGGTTAAGATGTAGTTTGGTTAATGGAGGATAATGCAGTTCATAACAAGTCTGGCTTCCATCATTATTTACCAGGTAGGCCAATAGAGACTTGCCTTTGACTTCAGACTTAGGGGAATGCAAACAAACAATTGAAGCATGAAACGAAACAAACACAATAGAAGCTAACAAACAAAGAAACAATAGAACCCAAAAAACAAAATTCACCACAACGCTAATCTGAAAGTTACATTGAAGAAAATGAATAAAGACAGGCTCCCTCATGTCTGTGAGCTCAACCGTCACTCAACCTACTACGGTATCAGCATGTATAACTCAAGTTCATCAGTTGTCTGTCTTTCAGACAAGAAAGTCTTTCTGATGCCACATTCCTGTCACTGATGATACACATTACAGTGTATGGTCATTACAGATTTATATTGCCGATATTGCTAAACAGCTTGATATCCACATCACTTTTAAGACTTCATAGTAAAAAGTAAATTATCTTAAGTAAAGTACAAACTATTAAACATGCAGAGAGCTTATTTAACCTCTCATCCCAGCCTTCTCTGGAAAGCCAGAATTTCAAACAGTACTCAAACGAGTCTCAAGGGAATGATCAATCCTAGAGGCACACAGATCTTAATTATTGTTATTCCATAGAGAAAACCGACCAACCAACCGAATGAATAAATATTCCTTTTGCTAGGCCAAAAAAATTCCCACCTAATACAGTGATGAATTCTGAAGCATCATAACCATCTCTGCATTTTCAAGAATGAATACTGTCTTTTGAGATGCCTTTGTAGTCTTCTCCTCTTAACTATCTACAAAGGCTGTTTGATTTCTGTGAACTCCACTCAAGTTTCCTATGTAGTGGATAGAGCAATGTGGACACCAGAACTATATGTTTTAGAAAATGCTTATGTACTTTAAGTTATTTAATTCTGAGTACTTCATTACTGCTGTCCTTTGTGTGAACTTGGTCCACAGCACCTAAATACTTGATTTGCATAAATAAAGTTTCATAAATGATAAAGTAAATGCACGCATAGAGACACACTTGCAATCAACTCAAAGTTGTTTTGTATACATACAAGTCAGTCTCAAGCAAAGAAAGTGGCTGCAAAAAAGAATGAAAGCATATGCTCCGAGTGAATCGAGAAAGGCAGACATAAAGACGCTAAGGGAAGAGAATTCAGTTAAAAAGGAAAAGCGATTAAAAAAAGCCACAATTGAAAGGGAAGAAGTTTTAATAAGTTAGGCAAACTAGATTGAAAATGCTGTTAATTATGCCTAGCATCATATATGGCAATTAAAAAAAAGCAGAAACAGTGGTTGTAATATAGTTGTTTTATGTCGTTAGTGTAGCAGAAACTGCAGCACATCCTCATCTAGGCACAATTACCAGCTGTTGCCATCAGGGAAATAATCCTTTCTTCACTATTCTACTGTACAAATCCTATGTCCAAAGCAACCAGTTGCAATTAGGAGGCTAAGTGGAAACTCAGAATACTTAAGTTGTAGTTTTGCAGTCAGAATCCTATCCTTTCTTTCTCTTTTTATGATAACTTTCTCAGCCATTTCTTCCCTAAAATTCTTGTGTATCACACTTACCTTACTGCTGGCATTCAATCTTATTCTAAAATGCTCTAGATTAGTTTAGCGTACCTGAGAGAATTAAAAACAGAGAATTATCCTGTGACAATTGGTAAACACTGTATTTTATAATAGTTTTAAGAGATCTAAGTTCATTTGAGGACTACTATCAACAATGCTATTTTAAATGTTATTCAACAAGATACAGAATATCTAAACAACATAGGGCAGGAAGTCACTGATGCAATCAGATCCATTATTACCTTGATGATTTCACACTAAATTCAATTACGAGGAGACATGTTTACAGCGTTTCTTTTTTGTTGCTATTGTTAGTTTAATAATTCCATTTTTGATAGACATGTTTACTCATACAGACTGAGTGTCTCCATCCCACTGAATAGGAAACTGACATTCAGACACAGATGCAGCCTTCTGCATTTTGATTTAATGGAGACAAACCTAATACAGACGAACAGTAGGCTGCCAGCAGACCTTTCAGATCTACTTATGATATCGCATGGCATCATCTTAAAGAAAACACATTTGTACTTTGTTATAAAATTTACCTTTCTTCAAGCAGTGTTTATACTTACGTACGCTTACGTGTGCTCATGTATATTCAATGTAGATATATTTCTGTCTAGTTAGAGACCAGCTGTATGCAAGTGGAGGGGGCTGTGAAGATTTAAACGTACAGTTGTAGGAGATTCAGTGCTGGATAATGGAAACTTTCCCAACATAATCACTCACAAAAATAAAGACCGCAGATGAACTAAGACATACACATGTGTATTATTGCTTTGTAACAAGTAAAGGCAAAGTCGGTCAGAAATCATATCTGATTCTTGCTTGTATTTCATTCAAATGAGATGTCAAAAACTTTCATGGGTAGTAATGCATATAAAAAAATATCAGCTACAGCACATAGTAGCAAATAATAGAAGAGAAACATATATGTACATACAGGGGAAAAACAAGTGCATTGGATTGGACATTATAGGAAGAAAGTCATTTGAAGTAAAGAATAAGCCTAGGAGACAGAAGAAACAGGTCAACTACCTGGGGACCTATAAGTACAACAATACTCATCGAGAGATTAAACTCTGAATCTGAGACCGGTGAGAATCAGCATGTTTCTTAAAAGAAGCAATTTAGAGTATTCCGATTGCTCTGAGAGGAATTAGGCAGGCAGCCAGGGATTTTCAGAGGACAGTTACGGGCTTGAGCAATGGTGTAAAGCTGGCTATATTGCCTTTGATCCATCATCGTAGCAGAATTTCTCAACCAGTAACAGACCACTCACCTGAAAAACTTGCAATATATTCCTGTTCCTATCACAGATTTCCTCTAGGCCTGTGGACAGACTGGTGTAAATGCTGGAAAATGAGAGCGTTTCGCAGCAACTGGGTTTGGAAGCGCTCCGAATGGCAAAGTGGGATAGTTTGTACAAGTTGACTCTGCAACTGTATCCCTCAGCCTGGCTTTTGAGAAGGAAACAAAGTCTGTAGTCCAGCAGACGCCCAGGGTCAGCAATGACAGCTAGGAAACATGCCTTGTTGCCTCCTCTATATTGCTTCAAAACCACAGTTCGGTGTGAACTTTCAGGGTAGTTCTCAGGCCTGTGGCAACCTTAGTCGCTGCCTCTTTAGAGTGAATTCTTTGCATTGCACTGACATGAAGATTATGTGAATGGGATTGGTGAAGTAGCCTGACAGAAAAAAAAAAAACTCATTTTCTCTCATCTGTTATAGAATTAGCGCATATCCATGACCGTCTGCACAAAGCCATGGGCCAGCTTAGCTGGAGGTGTGGATTATGGGCCAGAATTAGAAAATGAGCAAAGCTAGGAGAGCCTAAGCTATCTGAAAACCTGTTACTACAGAAAACTCAAGTACATCTCCAGAGCTTCTCATCTGCAGGTATAGCACTGATACAGTTTTTAGACTTTAATCTGTAGGTAAAACTTCACTTCAATAAGTAGGAAATAGAGGAGAAATGTAGATAATAAATCACAACGAAATGGGACAGATTGTTTGTTCCATGAATTGTCTTTTCAACAAGACATCTATTTTGTTTGATATTTTTCACAATTCCTACATCAGGCCTCTTTAAAAAAAAAACAAAAACAAAAACAAAACACCACTGTCAACAACAAAACACAAAGGAATCATATTTTTCCGTCTTATACTGCCAACAGGCCTTTTTCCTGAACTCCTACAAAAAGTGCATCAGACAATGTATTTAGCCAGATAGGCTAGCAGCATTATTGATATAGACAATATACAAAAACATCTTGCTGACCAATCTACAATGCATTAGCTCGCATAGATTTATAGTGCCCTGAACTAACTTCCAGCTATTTGCAGCCATTTACCTTTCCAAATAAAGTCATTTCTTAAAAAGAAGCCTAACGAACAAGTCTAGCCAGCAGTTCAACTACATTTAAACCTCAGATTCTGCAGAGAAGTTTTACTTGAGCTATAATAAATACGTTTAGCTTGGAAGTCTTTCACATTTGTTAACAAAGGACTGTACATGAAGTGAAAGAGACGTAAGAACCTGTAGCTTATAATGCTATAGTGTGATGGAAAGTACAGCCATAATAGCAGAACGGCACAATCCTAGACTTCAGCAAATGAGAACAAGCCCAAATGCAACAGACACAAACACAACAACAAAATAAGAGAAACTACTTAACTTCAGAAGGTGTTCAACAAGCAGTGATCTCTAGCAAGGTACCCTCTCCTCCAATGCAAACCCTTCAAATGACATCTGGGAAGGGGTGAATCCTGGCTCCACCTGTTGTAGTCGTACAGGTACATTGCACGTACCTGAGCTGCCCTGGGTTGGCCTTGACTTCCCACCAGGTGCTCAATCACCGGTTCAGGCCATGACTTCGCGTTTTCTCTACAGAACCTTTGAAGACCTTTAACGGCACAAGATTGTAGTTTATGTGACAATACAGGATATTATCTCTAATCAATTATTATAAACATAAAGAAATACACGGACTCAAAAGAAATGTCTTTTCGCTTCTATTCTCTGATTCACTTCTTTGACCAGTGCAAAGAAGGGAAGATGACAACTGAGGTCTTTTGACAAAGTTCAGCTTTCTTAGGTATGAGACAGCTGCTTGTATAACATGTGTTAGTTCTTAAGTAAAACTTAATCCTTTGTGGCTCGTCTTACTATGATGCGTAACACAACAGCTATTAGAAGTGGCCACCTTAACAACATCTTCACATCAATCTGAGTTAATAGATCAACTACATATTAAGCTTACATAATGGCAGCCTTGCATGACATCTTTTCAACACTCTCACTTAAAATACAGATATGCTGGCGCCTTTGTTCACATTAGCTGTAGCTGGACTGGTCAACTGCATGCAAACTGAAATAAAAATTAACTCCACTTACGTTTTTCATCTCCCACTACTGCAGGCACCAGCGCATCCCCAGCATTAAACATCTAGTCATTTGACTTTTGTGAGGATCCGGCTCCTGTAAGGGATGCAAACTGTAAACGAATTCACAGAACAATCCACCACCTATTTACGAATGTGAAGATATTAAAAAATATATAACATATATCTTAATATGTTATAGTGACAAAAAAAATCTATACAGTGAAGTGCAAAAGGCACATATGCCAGCTGAAATCACAGGCTAGTGGTAACACAATGCAGAGTATAATGGGGAGCTGCAAACAGACTAGGAGTGCCAACAAAGCTGTATATCTCTACAGAAAGAAATATCTCTACTGGCAAGCAGCAATCTGCTGACCAAAGCACTGTTGCTGACTTGTCAAGGGAAAGAATACTCTGTGCTTTAAACCAGCAGTATGCGAAAGGACTGTGGATCAGGGCCTCTGAGGTAAAAATGATTTGGGAGAAAAAAAAAAAAAAAAGAATCAAGTAGAATGACTGCTACATTTCTAATTAAATATATAGTGCAATAAGGGGGAGGGGGGGATGGGAGGAAGAAATACTTGCATACTCACATTGACCCTTAGAGCTGAAGTCGTTTTCTTCTGAGTGGTGTGGCTTGCAATCGGTAGTGCAGAGCTTTTAAAAAGGATATAACGCAATAAGAACTGATAGCTGTCACCATCTTGTCTTCTGCCTTTTCTAATTTCACCCACCAATGGAACAAGCGGCTCTTTGTTCATAAAACAAGGCCGCAGGAAGCATTTTCACAGTGTAATCTTGTGAAAAATCACGTTTTAGGAAGCGAGATCACCCTTTAGCCCTCTTCTGTCTTTATTTTACCTCAGAAATACCAGCAGCTTCAGCATGTTTGGAAAGGAATTTAAGTTTAGTAGTTCTTTGTTTCAAAGTACAACAAACCTATGCAGACTGAGAAACAACTGTCTGGGCATGAGTACATAAAATCCATTGCTTGATTTCATTCATCTACAGCTGTTTTTTTCATGAAAGCAAATATAGCAGCGTTCACACCCTTGACGTACTTAAATACCGACCAGTATAAAAAACACATTCTATTTGAAACACTGAAATCATGTTTTCAGTCCCTTCTAAAGCAGAACAGGCTGTTCAACGCATTTTAGTGAGATGTTCTTCAGGTGAAGATTGTGGCTGTGGCACTTAATAACGGTGATGCCAAGGACATTTTGGTCTTCCAATAATTACTTAAGTATTTTGTAACTTCACAAGTACAATTTCGTCATTATCAGTACCTGCAGAGGTAATGTTCATATGGCTCATATTTTCGCTTCCTCTAAAAGAGCCTGACATAATCTTTAAAACAACACCACAACAACAAAAAAAAAACACAAAAAAAAAAACAAAAAAAACACAAGAAACCTCTGACCAAAGATTACCCCTGTTGCTGAGGAGGCAGAAGGTTACTGCTCCCAAAGGAAATCATTTTCCAGGAGTCTGTCTGAGATCCAAGTTGCCTACAGGGGCTCCAGTCTTATTTCCACTTCAAAGCAAATGTGGAAATCTTTCTCAGAGCCGTGAAATCAATAGTTCACTCAAAAGACCCTTACCTGAGCTCAGGTAGAAGAGTTTTATGAAAGAGTCAGCAGAAAAGACTGTACTAATCTCTTCACCTACAGTTCGATATTGAAGACCAGTAATGATTCCTCCTTCTAGTGCCACTCTACCGTTCTTCCCATTTTTTCTTGCTCTTTTCTAGGGATCTGAACTCTGGAAAAGATGATAAATAGAACAAACAGAACATGGTTTTATTCTGGAGAAAAATTACCTATGCTAATCGCACCGTAATAATTACCTTTTTCTGGCTCAGCCTAGTGCATGAAGCACACATGCATGCCAAAGCCGTGATTAACTTTATAGATGCAGTGGAATTATGGAAATGCTTCTTGCAAAAGTGCGCACTTGCCAAAATTATTCCGTGACCTTGCGCTTATGCGGAGTTTTAAATAATTCAGTGATGTATCGAATGAATAAATTTGTGCTGCTTGCTACTCTAAACAGTCATGCTTTCACTTTCCTTGCCATTTTTAATAAAGCCTCACTTTCTAATATTCATGAAATATTGCATTTCAATTAAATTACATACATACCGAGAAAATAGTTTGCCCTAAGCTGTTTAGTGTTGACACCAACTGTCATTTGCCTTTTCTTTTAGTACAATAACCATGGAGGATTTATGTACAAGCAATACAAAGCGCTGTCACAGCTTAATGAGAAATTTTTTTGATCGTGTACAGCACAGAGAATAAATCTAAGATGTTTTGTTATTTTTAAAGGTCATTAATGCAGCTAAAATAATAGGTACTCAATCATACCTTAGCTTTCCATCCCTTGTTTCTCAATAAAAACAACATTCACATTTTTCCAATGCTTCAGTTGCACAATGAAAGCTGCAGAATTCAGACTTTTGAGTAAGTTTGACAAATACTTTTTAAAATGAAAAGACAAAAGAAAATTTACAGTGCGAAGTTTTCGTTTTAAACAACATAAAAAGTTAAAAAGGTACATAAACACAAAATTCTACTTACATCAGAGCAGCAAAATATTGCTTTCAGATTTGCCATTAATTAATCGCAGGCAAATAGATTAAAATACCTGTGGGCCGACCTATATATATTCTTTTAAAAAAGGGAATTTTGTCAATCCTTTATTTATTATAAAATAGACTGGAGTTAAAGGTTCAGTTTAAGGGATATTTTCAAATTCAATTGTTCCTATTTGTGGCAAGTCATCTCACCATATTAGTTTTGGGTAATAAAACTACTAACATACATATAAATATAGGTTGCATTTCCTCCCATTTGGCCACAATAAATAGCGAGTTTTTAAATCGAGATCAGAAAGACCTCATCAAGCTTGTACTGCCTATCACCCTTCCTCTGTGCCTGATGCAGAGAATAAAAGCTCTTACAGAGCTCAATCCGAGTCTGTTTTGAAGCTTAAGCTCTAAAAGCTTCTGTGTTTTATCTGGAGACCTGAACCACAGCTACAGTGTTGCTCCTGTGTGTTAGATGCTGCAGTTAGCAGCTACACAGAGGTATATTCCCAGATAGATGGTGAATACGTGTCATGAAAAAGAAAGGAAATACAAAATAAATATATGTACAAGCTCAAAATCCTGACTGCACCTTTCCATTTCATGGCATTGGTTCCCAAAGAGGAGGAAGAAGAAAAAAATAAGGACAAGAACACCTTGTTTCCAAGTTTCATCTGCAAGATAGAGCTTTCACATTAATGCCCATAAACCGATCTGGATACCCTACTGCATCTCTAGCCTTCTGAATATCTTCAAATTTGCCCTAACGTATTGGTAATCTTCACCCACGGATGAAGCACCCACCAGCATCACTCATCATTCTGTTTTCCACACATCACTCCAAATCATTCTGGTCACCACAGCGTAACTAGGAGGCCACTTACATTTGCCCTAAAGCATTTTAAATGAGCATAAAGAGAACAGATGCAGAACTGCTACAAACAGTTAGGTATAAATAGTCAATAGTGTCAAGAAAAGCTCTTGATTACACAATTGAAGCTACTTCACACACACTACACATACATTATATATCTTTGTATATATCAAGGATTTCTAGAAAACATGAGCCTCAAGGTGATGCTTGCTTGTAACTCAGTTCTTATAGGCTGGAAAAATGTAAATATATTTTTATATCTATTATACTCGCATAAAAGTTTTGGATAAATAACAAACATTATTCATCACTTACTATCATTCCAGAAAAGCAGTCTGTCTTCTACAGAATTGTGATGGTAACTCGGTCTTCCATTCCAGGAGAAGTCTCAAGTGAGTCAGATCACAAGCCTTCCCCTACAAACATTGTCTGTTTGAAGTTTGTGATAATGTGTTATTTGGTATATATATTCCCCCACCAGGATGAGAGAGTGCACAAAACTGTTTAGCATGTTGAACTCTATCTCCACCTCAACTTCCTTCCTTGTGTTACATGCATTTCCTATTTGACTACCAGAGAGACTTTCAGCTAATTAAGCTGATTTAATGAAGGCTATCATTCAGTTTTCCTGCTGCATGTTTTTTTTTTTTTGCCCCAAACAAATGATGGATGGCAAGCTGGACGTAAGCTAGCGATGTGCTCTCTCAGCCCAGAAAGCCGACCATATCCTGGGCTGCATCACATAAGTGTGGCCAGCATGGAGACGGAGATGATAACGCCCCTCTGCTTCGCGCCAGATATACCTTATACCTTTTAGAAAAGTTATAGCAAAAACTAAAATACAATACCTTGTGGAAATCCTTCAAAAAAGTACACTAAAGCAAGACTCCGCAGACAGAGAAATCAGAAGAAGAGCTGCATATCTCAAGAAAGTTGGCACTGCAGTAGAAGTTCAAGTCTGACATATGTGTCATGACCATGTAGGATTTGTAGAACACATAAGCCTCATGGTGATGTTTGCTTGTAACTCAGTTCTGTGTAGGCTGAATATTGTGGCATGGTGGCACTTGTTAAGTCACGTTCAATATGCTCACTTCCATAATAGTCGAGTAAGACATTTGAAAGTACTCAGCACTGATCATAGGCATACATCAAAAAATCTACAGTGTTTTTTCAACATGTTAGAAATGAGAAAGCTGTACCGATTTAATTATTTAAAATCTTCCATATATACTGCCAGTATTTGTTCATTTACTTATCTTACTTATATCAGAACGGTTAGAATAAGCAATTACAGGTGATTGTCCTGAAGTATGAAGTTAAAGCGTGACACAGAATGCAGAGTTCAGAGAGCTGTACACTCTACGTATAGCAGAGACATTCACAAGGGACTTAAATGACAAAAGGTGTATTTGCGAATCGCCTCATTTTTTTTTAATGTTATCACTACAACGTGAAGTCCTCCAACCTTGTTTTTCAATTACAAATAATAAAGCAGGACAAAAGTCTAACCCTTTATCCAACAGTTGCCATTGGTGGAGCATAAGAGCAGGACATGTGTACAGAGAAACCTATCCCAAATACTATTTCCATAATCTCTAATATCTCCAGATGCAACATACATTCAGTCACAGGTGGGATTAAGTAAAAATCAAAGTGTCTTGAATGAGGGAGAGAAAAATATCTCCATTTTTTTATTTCTAAGTATTTCTCTGATCCAGTTTGACTTGTGTGGCTTAAGTTGAATTATGACAAAGACCACATACTCCTGAAAGACTTATTTGTCCAGTAACAGAAGATAAGAGTTTAAATTTTTTTTTTTCCCCTTCTCTGCGCTACAGTAAATTTTCATTTTCATTATGAAGGACGCTTCAGAGTTGATGGGCATTTTGTCTTGTTTTACTGTATATGAAGTGTGATATGCAGTTTCGCAAAGCACATGTAACAGAAATCCAGGCTTTATGTACTTGCCTATATTGATTTAGTATGTTGAGAATTTGAGTAATCTATCTTAATTATTAAAAAAGCTTATTTTCCTGAACTAAGTCCCGTGCTTAAGTGTTCATGTGACAAGCCTTATCATGATCATTTTAGTGTGAATTTTCCTATAATTTTACACCAACATGTGATCACCAGTTCTAAGATAGATTTTTTTTTTTTAAACGTCACAGTCATAAAATCTGTTTACTCCAGACAAAAGTGAGTAAACTGTGGATTATTTGATTGCATATAATCTGATGGAGATACAGAATAATTACTATCATCAAGTAATATAAAATACTCCGCATTAACAAACAACAG